CGAATTCCAGCACTTTTTCCACTAAATCAAGTCCTTTGTCATGAATAGCACGTTCAATATTGACGAATAAAGCTTGAACAAAGTCTGGTTTATTCTTAAGAAGTAGTTGCCTAATAGTGTTAAAACGCAATGTTAAATCGCAACTTCGTGAAGGCCATTCAATGTCACAATTTCTTGAAATAATCAAATCTCCAAACTTTTCTCGCAATAATTCAGTTGTTGCACGTGCTGTGTGGCAAGTAGCCCCGTCTTCTTGGAACCAGATGATATAAAGTTCAATTTCTTGCAATAGCGGTCATAAAAAGTTGGTTATCAATCTACACCGCTCTCCATTGGCAGTAACGGTGTCACCAGCTTCATTTCGATAGAAGTACGGACCGATGATTATAGCAGTCCGAAAAGCACACCAATCTGTCAATTTAGTTGAATGTAATAGTTGTTCTTGAATCAAATTTTTTGGATTTTCTTCGTATCCTCATCGAATATGATTTTCTTAAAAAAAATCAATATGAATTTCGAGTCGTTCTGAGGCAAAATCAGAAAATTCGCGACGTTTACGGTGGTCCAATGGCCTGAGTTCTTGAATGAGAACAATTTTCTACGCAAAAAAAAAAACAATGATTTCTCCTCTATTTCGAAAGTAAAGGTAGGGATGCATTTTTGACAAGATCCTCAAAAAAAGTTCGAAGACGTATAATGTAAACTAACTCATTTAAAATTGTCCTTAAACCTGACAAAAAAGACAATATAGCAAATCGAACAAGCAACTGGTATAAATAAAAGAAACTGGCGTAATAAAATATGATAAGATAGAATATATACGAGCTTCTATACTATTTCAATGTGATATTTCTCAATGAGTTGTTTTTCAAATAGACGACATTGCTGAGAAGAGCAGAGTTCGAATCCAACTAGCATAGCAGCGACGAATCGAAGACAGCAACGCAACACGTACTTATCTTATCAAACTTCCGTGAGCCCAAAATAGAGCTTAAGTTATCAGCTTAAAATTATTTAATCGCTACATTAGCGAGAAATAAATTGAAGCGGAACAAACAAAAACTACTAAAATGTAAATATAAAGCTGTCTTCCATCAGTTGAGCACATTTAATGAATTATATTCCATGCGGTTGTTGGACGTTCGCAAATCGCATGAAAAATATGTATTTTCAATTAAAAATTTGCCTCAGAAATGCAACAGGCGAGTGGAAAGCGGGATAAGCGAAGCGAAGCAAGGAAGGCTCGCAGAAAGTGGGTCGCCAACGATGGCAGACAATGCCACAAAGTGGAGGGAGTACACAAGCAATTTCATGCCAAAAACTTTCCGATAAATACACAGCAAATAAACACATACACACATGCATAAAAAAAATAGTTTCAATTATTTATGGTTAAAAAAGTAGGAACTACAGATATACATTCGTAAAAAAAAAATAACGCTTGTGTAACCCGAAGCTTAAAAAAATATGTTTAAATGTAATAATTGCGATTGGCGATTAAATTTTTTGTATTGTTTATTTCTTAGTTTTTTAAGTTTTTTTTGTTGCTTAAAGGGTTAATGGTGTTAATCGTAAATCGCTTTTAAATTTGATGTGTGTCTTTAATGCTATTTATTATTTTAAGTGGTTTAATAGTAAAGCTTATTTCAGGTCATAATTATTTCAAGTTTTTTTAACTAATGTTGGGTGTTCGCAAAAAACTTTTCGTATTTCTTAACATGACAAAATGTGAATGGTTGCTCTGAAGATATACGACTGCAACGACATCTATTGGCAAAATAGGAAACAACTTTTTCGACTACAAAATATTGATATTGAATATTCTGAAAAAATCAAAAATTTACCAAAATCCAAATAGATATGACGGCTTAAACAAACTTTTATTGGAAGAAATTTTTTTTATCGTTTTTGTAAATGTCACAATGCATTTAAAAATAAAATGGAGCTGGTTGAATTGATTTAGAAGGAAGTAAGCAAAAGCTATTTGAGATATCGATTTAAATTTTCTTTTACTTTCACATTAGGTCTGTCCCATAAGAGTACTTCAGACCTCATTTCCTTCAAATCATCTGTAATTATATCGGCTTTATAAACTAATAAGTACTCCTCTAAGACATTAATTCAAAGTAGAGCACCCCACAGTACTGTGGCGGGCTTAAAGCCAGTAATTGAAGTGCATCATTTTTATTTTTATTTCTGAAATCAACAACTCATATATAAATAATGTAATTATATTAAAATAGTGCATATGAGCAAACGTACATACATACATAAGCCTACATTGAGTGCGACGCAAGTATCGCTTGTAGCGACAGCTGCCGACGCGTCCAAATATTTCCAGCGAGATGCAGATAAACAGATTTGTCCTGCCAACATTTTTTGGGGTGCGAGCTTGCTGCCGGCGATGTGTGGCGTCCGGCTAAATCTCCTTTTTTATTTTGTATATTCTTTTCTCCTTTTTTATATGTTTTTTTAGTTATTTTTTATTGTTATTTTTCACACCAGTGTTGTTTTTCTTTGTCACTTTGGCGCCCAGCACATTAAATTTGGTTGTGTATTTAAGCGAATGCAGATACATACATATATACGTATAAACATTAATGTTTGTAACGCTATTTGTGGCTGCGGCTGGGAAAATAAGCCGGAAGCACAGCTTTTAGGCTCGTCGCTTTTTGTCGCGCTCACATGCACCTCATCTATCTGTGTGTGCGTGTGTTTTGGTATGCAAGAACTAAAAAATATAAGTAAAAACTTGTCAGAAAATGTTTAACGTTCTCACAGTGTTACCAGATTATTGGGAAAAATAACGAAATGAAAGGATTTGCTGTATTAAAATTCCAAAGAATTTAATTCCACGAAATAAGTAAACAAGAAACGCCGGTAACCCTATAAAAAATTGGGTAGTCAAAAAAGTCTTTCTTATTTTGTCGATAAATGTCGTTGAACTCGATTAATTAACTAGTTAACTAGTAATAGGAAAAGACTTTTTCTACTACAAAATTTACCTGTATAAATTATCAGCGTGACGAGCTGAGACGTTTAAGTTATGTCCGGCTCTCTGTATATATGACATATCGATCTGAAATTTGGCACAAGAACTTGTCTTCACCAAAAATTGCTTATCTATCGAAATCGCTTGTATCGGATGATTATAGCATATACCTGTCATACAAACTGAACGATCGGAATGAAGTGCTTGCAAGGAAAACTTTCTTATTTGGCAAAATATCTTTACGATATCTGGCATAGATTATTGACCAAGACTAAGCTACAATATCCGAACATATTGTTCAGATCGGACAACTATAGCATATAGCTGTCGAACAAACTGATCAATCAAAATCTATATAAAGATATTTGTTAACCCTTTTTTTATACAAAATGCACTTGTGAAGCGTAGTATAGCTTCAATGCAGGCGAAGTTAACTTGTTTTGTTCTTTTCTGCATATTTGTATCAAATAAAATCCATATGGTAACACTGCTTAAAAATATTTGCACGCCAATGTACATGTGATATATAGTATGAGCTTATGAGCAGCTAAGCATTAGCAATTCACCTGCAAACACCTCGGAGGCACTCACACACACACACGAGCCCTCGCGCATTCGCTGTCACTCGTAAATGCCGAGTAACCTTTCAGCGTAATCCCATGCAAATGCACCTGTCCGTTCGCTCGTTCTCGCTTTGCCGTCTGCCGACTGGTTAGCTCTCATTGACTAAGTGTCTGGCTGACTAACAGACTAACGGACTAACGCACTTGACTAGTGACTAGTTGACTAACTGTCGAGTGGCCGAGGCCGGCCATTCAGGCTGTGCCACCGTGTCGGCATTGTCTGTTGCAAAAGTTCACGCCAGCACAGTGGTCGCGTTGCATGAAAATGTGGCAATTGTTGTAATTTCTCACCAACTGCCGCGTCACCCGGCCTTTGCATGCTTGTTATTCTTGTTTTGGTGTGTTAGTATTTATTTGTTGTATTGTTGTTGTGCTGTTGTCACCATTGTTAGTTTTTGTGCATAAATAAATGCTGGCAACATTGTACAAATAGCGGAGGATTAAAGTATTTACCCCAGTGAGTGCAACATCCTCGTACAGACACCCACACACACATACACCTCTACAAATACACATATGCGCTCATAAAACTTGCCCAAAATAGCTTGTGCAATATCCTTACTTATGTCGTCGTTTGCCACACAAACATGCAACATGCCACTTGTCGGCATCTATTTTTGCAGCTGTTTGCCGCACAACATCGTTGATGTGCAACATTTCAGGGATTTCCTTGCTGACGTCTGAAGTGGCTTAAATTTTTTATAAACATAAAGTATGTCTTGTGGCACGAGCTTTCTGCCTGCCGTAATGTGCCACAGTGCCTTGCATGGGTGCAGCGCGTAGCTACAAGTGCTGTGAACAACTCGAGCTACTTGCTACCCAGCGTGTTGCATGGGGAATTTAGTCGTAAAATGTGTGGCATTTACCACTGGCACGTCACCCAGCCATTTGCTGCAGCTCTCATTTGCCACATCTGCATACGCATACATACATAGGGGCTCAAATTCCTCATATGCACGGCGTTTTTATGTGCCACCAGAGATGTGGCACTAGCATGGGTGACGCATTTTTTAGTGAGTGTGTGTGTGTGTGGCAAGGTATGAAAAAATTTATTGCCGCCATAAAAATGTATTGTTTGGTGACAGTAGCACCTCACACATGCAAACTTTTCTATATATGTATATATGTATATACACACACATATACATATATGAAGCTTTATACAAACGTGATATAAAGTTTGATTACCCTCATTCAAATATAGCGTTAATTAGCTGCCGCTTGCAGGTGAGAACCACATTCAAAGTGTTTAAGAGTGCGATAAGCCACCCCTACACCCACTATTCTTTCTACCAAAGAATTTTTAGTTAAATATCTATTGCACTTTTAATAATTATTTCCGAAAACAAAAAAATTAATTTTTATACTATTTTGACTATTTTTAGGCAAACCATCAAAAGTCATACACTTGCGTAACATTCCAATTGAGTCCAGCGAAGCAGATGTCATCTCATTAGGTGTACCGTTCGGTCGCGTCACAAATGTGCTCGTCTTGAAGGGCAAAAATCAAGCTTTCCTCGAAATGGCCGACGAAGTATCCGCGACATCTATGGTCTCATGCTATACCGTTACACCGCCACATATGCACGGACGCATGGTTTATGTACAGTTTTCCAATCATCGCGAATTGAAGACAGACCAGAGTCACAACAATGTGAGTACTCAATGAAAATCTCATTTAACCATTTTTTATGATTGTCAAGAGGATTTAGAGAGTGATCACTTTCGACGTTCCATATATTTTTTAAGAACACAGAAACTTCAAAATTTAATGGGGAATGTTCATTAGCATTCGAAAGAACATTTTTTGCTCCAAGCCTGAATCGAAGCGGGATTGTCCGCTTAGACTTTAGACTTTACATATCTCCAAATAAAGCTTGATATTTCAAGGTCTTGGTGGCTAATGTAAAACTATTTAATCACCGAAGTGTTCTCTCAGTAAATCCATTGATTGATGGCACCGTCTTGTTGAAACCAAATAACCAAATGTCGCCGAGATCACGAACTTCAATTTCAGGCACAAAAAAAGTCGGTTATCACCGGCATCATATTTGAAGAAATATATACCGATAATTCCACCGACCCACAAACTACAACAAACCGTTTTTTTCGTCCGAAATGCGGCAATTTTGCTTTTTTATTGTATACCCATTTAGCAAGAGATGGGGCTCAAAGTTTAGTAAAATTTGGCTCGAAAACTTCGGAACCTTTTAGAACTTTTCCAGAGCACATAGATCAAAGCGATGTCACGTAGGAAGGTCCTTCAATCATTACCTGAGAGATCATATATTGTAGTAAAAGGTTGTTTTAGTTTTGAGATAATTTTAAGCAGAAAATACTGGCTTGCTAACAGACACCCTTTTTTGGAGGTCCTTCTGAAGATCGACTGTTTTTTCGGAGTTTTTGAAGTGTCTTCCTCGTTGTTGTTATTATTTTTATTTTTTTGTAACGGTTATAAAGTCCACGATTGAGAGGTAAGGTTCATCGAAGTCGTCCAACAGTAGGCATAGAAGGGAGAGGAGCGTCAGATGGTGGTTAGTGTCATGCGAGGACGCGTCGCATGCTATACGTATATTTGGTACGTCTGGGTCGAATCGAAACAAAGGTACGCAAGGTTCACTCTCGATTCTTGCAGAAACTGCAGGTCATTGCCTGCAATAATCGTGGTTTGACTGCAAGTACGCCATTCACTGAGAGGAAGTCGATAAAATGTTTATGTCTCCCTGTGTCGGACAGGGCAAGTCTGAAGTTAGTGGCGTCCGAAGTCTGGTCAGCGTATTGTACCATGTCGGCGGCGTAGTTAAGGAAAGACCTCTTGATGTTCCAAGAAGACAGTTCCGCTTTAAGCAGGCGACTACAGGGATAGTTTCTACGAAAAGACCCCAGCAGAAACTGCGTGAAAAGAAGTTTATTATGCTCACTAACTGGAAGCTTACTCTGTCCCTTTTGTCCACATCGCAGAACTCGGCAAATATCCGTGTGCCTGTTGCTGCTTTAAATACCATTTTTAGTTTAACGAGTGTTCTTTTGGCGCTCGCATAAAGGAAAGCTGAACATGATACCACTTTCTCTATTACTGTTTTTATTGTGATATTCAAACATAATTCGCTATTTCAATAAATATTTTTGGCAAATAGTCGCGCTCAAATGTATGCCTCTACACCCTGACACACACATAAGTGTGGCAAAGAGTAAATAATGCAAATGAAAATTCATGCAAACACGAAATGAATACCTATGAATGTCATTTAATTAAAATATCCCAATTCAGCCCAAATATGGTTACAACCATAATTGCGAGTATTTGCGCGCAATGACGTCATTTATCAACCAACACAACAACAAGGCTGGGATTTGCATCGTTGTCCCTCGGTTGTTTGCCAAAAGCACCGCAAAAGGTGGCAAACTCGACACTTTTTAATTAATCACAATTTGTAACAAATTATACCCGAAGCATTCGCTAAATCACGCACGGATTCCACACATACACAGACACAACACTAACATATGCCTGGAATCTAGCGCTTTGTCCTACGTGCCACACATTGTTCAAATTCAAAATTTTCGCTCGTTATTTGGGTTTCAACCCTCGAAATGTCGCCGTAATTTGAAATTTAAGCCAACACGTTTTGAAGTGCTCGCTTGGAATTAAAGCAAATGCTGCGCTGTTTGTTGTATTTGCGTAGAGCCACTCACGTTAGCAAACGCTTAACTGCTTGACTTTGTTGCTGTTGTCCGCTTGTCACCTGGCTGTGTTTGAAGCGAAGAGGTCAAAGCATATTTAGCCAAGCGCTGAGGTGTCTGCTAAGACGCCGCAATAGGCCAGTAAGTCAGTCACGCAGCAACCTGCTGTCAAGCAGACACTGACAGACGGTCCGTCAGTCAGCCGGTGTGGACGTCAAAGTGTTTTTGTTTGTAAATATGTGTACAATCACATTTTAATATGTGAACCCACATGAATGGCAGCCTCATCTCATTTTGTGAGTGCGCTGGGGCTTTGCTTGAATGAATTGGTATGTGCGAGTTGTCTTTTTAGGTTAAAGAGCAAATGACCGTCTGTTACATGCCACTGATTATAGCTAACATGTTGGATTGCTTTATTTGACTCCGCCGTCCTAATTTTTTGTTTGGTTTTGGAATTCATTATTACTTACTGTCCATTTTTCGTCTCAGCACTACGTGGCCTACGTCAGATGGGAATTATATATTTTCAATTTTATGTAACTAAAGTAAAGTTTTGTAGTGGTTGTACTTTAGAAAGTATTATAAAATGTTTCTAAAAAGAAATTTACTAATTAAAAATATAGATCTGTAATACTTACACTGGAAGAAATTTAAAATTAAACTTCAATTGAAGCTTTTGAGCTTTCGCCTGAGCTTGGAATTTTCCTATAAGCTTTTGCAGTAGGAATATCCGAACCTAGTAATTGCGTTACTGTTACAAATTGCTAAGTACACATCAGTTTAAGCTTTTGAGCTTTCGTATAAACTTTAAAATTTTCCTATCAGCTTTCACGGTTGGACTATCAAAACCCGGTAACTACGTTACTGTTAGATATGTCTAAGTAGACTTCAGTTTAAGCTTTTGCGCTTTCGGCTAAGCTTTGGATTTTCCTAAAAGCTTTCACAGTGGGAATATCAAAACTCGATAACTACGTTACTGTTACGTATTGCTAAGTACATTTCAATTTAAGCGTTTCTCTTAAGCTTTGAGTTTTCCTATAAGCTTTCATATTACGAATATTAGTACTCGAAAAATGCATTCCTGTTTCAATTTATGCTATGTGCACTACTGTTTAAGCTTTACGGCTTTTAATTGACCTTTTGAATTTTCTTACACCCTTCCGTTATCGACCGATCGAAGAACCCACTGAATTAATTATTGGTTAGGAAATTAAAGCTCAATCTAAATCCAATAATATATATGTATATAGTTGTTCGTTTCATCTTGTAGATCTATTTCAACTATATCGCTTAATTATCATTGCAATTAGCCCCATCCTGTATATATTCCATACCTGTATTGCCCAGGTGTATATTCTTTGAAATAAAGCCATTATAAAATATTTCTTCTCAGTTAATTACTAAATGTCAATTAATTGTTAATAAAGAAATTTTCAGTTGTGAGCAGTCATCAAAAAATTATAGGTTATATTGTCGCAACCGATATCAAAAATGCACCATTAACTAATGACGCTGTGAAAACTATCAGCTGTTGCTCGCAATCACTCTCGCATTTTCTCACCTGTGTGCGCCGTCATGAGCATTCACTTCTTGTTGTTGCACTTGAGTGCAAGTGTTGAAAACATCACACGATAATTACAAATGGCATTCCCAAATACCATTTACCTGCACTATTATCATGTTTCTCTGCTCGTTTGTCCTTCGAAAGCGTTGAAACGATACCAACATGAAGCGTTAGGCCAACGCCATTACCTACACGTCTACCAAAAGCGTATAAGATATCAGCGCCTGCATGCAGGCAACACTTTGCCTACTTGAATTTCCAATAATGTGTATATTGTTTATTTGCCTTGTATTCAGCTGCCAATTACGCCGATTACACAAATTGTATTATAACAGTAAGGGGCAATGAGTAAATATATTTGCATATTAACTACCTACATATAGAGCAAGTGGTATTTAGATGACATATATACCTATGTGGAGCACTTAATGTGGGTACCGACATGAACTTTGCATACATTAAGGCTTCGGGCGGTGTTGTCTTGTCACACGACTCTAGTCTGTTGCATGTCATCACGAAGCATTTGCTGTTCGCGTACTTGTTAATGCAGCTAATTCTTAGGGCATATGCATGCCAATAATGTATTTGTATTGTACAGTTAGTTACAACAACAACAACTACATATGGAACAGTAAGTTCGCCTAGCGTCTGCTATTCTGTTTATCAGAACTGAATTGAGCAAAGGCAAGTGCTCATTAGTATTGATCGTTGAAGTTTTTCGCCTGTGACTTTATCGTCGTGTGCCGATTACATAAAAAAAAAGCTTGTGAAAGAATTTTCATATATAAATACTATAAAACCGTTGTTTACTGTAGTACGCCACAAGTAAGCAATGTTTTTGTTGCAATTTTGGGAGATCTCTGTAGAAAAGTTCTATTTCATTATAGTCACGTTTAGATCAAGCTAAAGATAGTTTTAACGTCGTAAACAGGGTATATTAAGTTTGTTCCGACGTTTGTTACACCCAGCCTTGTCCTTCTGTCTATATATAATATGACCGAACTAGCCACTCCTTTTTTGAGGTATCGATATTAAATTTTGTATACGTCCTTTTCTTCTCAAGAAACTGCTTTTATGTCGGAATCGTCGATATCAGACCACTATAGCATATAGCTGCCATACAAACCGATCGATCGAAATCAAGTGCTTGTATTAAAAACTTCTTCATTGGACGATATATATCCACGAAATTTGGCACAAATTTTTATCCAAGACTGCGCTACAATATTTGAATATATCGTTCGGATCGGATCTCTATAGCATATAGCTGTCATACAAACTGACCGACAAAAATCAAGTTATTGTATGGAAAACTTTTTAATTGACCAGATATGTTCACGATCTTTGGAATAGATCATTGTACAAGGCAACGCTACAACCTCCAAAAATATTGTTGAGACCCACCC